TTTGCCTGCTGCATTTCTGCCCTGGGCCGGTTCGTCCCTCCTTAGACAACCTGGATACTACGGGCTCCACCGTTGAATCCATATTGATGCCTGGCTTAGTGCGGACACCTGATCGACATAGCACACCTGAGAGCAGGAATCCCATTCTCAAACCGTCCTCCATTCCAGGCCTCTAAGTAGCTAGATTACAGGAGCCCGCCGCAACTCCCAGCCGTTTAACATCATTTATAACACCGCAATAAACAAAATAATCAGTGTTTTTTTTACACTGTCAATAATTTAACGTGGCCGGGCTACAGGGCCAAACATGGACCAGCAACTATACGCGCTATGTAATTGGTTTAGTGTTCCCGCGCTATGAATACTTTACAGATCTATTCAAACGAGAGGTTTTAACAGTTTCTTCGATAATGACCTTGCGGCTTGCAGATTTAACCTTGTCAAGGCCAATCAGGATAAATTAATCCATTGTCTTTGCCCGTCTATTGGCGGGGGTCTATATCAGTGTTTTAACAGGAAGCTAAAAAAAAAAAAAAAAAAAGAGAGAAAAATGGGAATTTACGTCCACTCGACACGAACTAGGTAATTTCGAGACTAATATATTATATGATTCAATTTTATTTCAATATTTGCGCGCGAGTAGGAAAACCGAGGACCCGGAGAAAAAGTTACGACGTAAGACAGGCGAAACTACTCCTTTTCACGTACAAGCTGGGATCGAAGCCACGACCTTTGGCTCAATGATCCATTTAATGCACGCGTTAACCATTCAAGATCCAGTGTGGTCTGAAACCAAACACACGTATCGTATTTGAAGTTATCTCCCTTTCATTACAAAACCTCGTAAATTAACATTCCATATGGTAGATTGATTCAACGGGATTTTGAAACCGAAAAGTGCATGAAGCCAAATATGAATATATTATTGAAAATATTTTGCGCTGGGTTGATGCAAAATTGTGAAATGGGTGGGAAGATGTGTTAAAAAAGGAATGGGTTCGACTATATTGAACGGGCTACTAACAGATGCCTATTCACAGGTGCGATCCCACTACTGCCGGACACGGGGACTTTTGCCTGCTGCATTTCTGCCCTGGGCCGATTCGTCCCTCCTTAGACAACCTGGATACTACGAGCTCCCCCGTTGAATCCATATTGATGCCTGGCTTAGTGCGGACACCTGATCGACATAGCACACCTGAGAGCAGGAATCCCATTCTCAAACCGTCCTCCATTCCAGGCCTCTAAGTAGCTAGATTACAGGAGCCCGCCGCAACTCCCAGCCGGTTAACATCATTTATAACACAGCAATGAACATTTGTTGACTCCAAATTAGCAGTAATTGGATTTTGTGCTTGAATTGTAACCGAGCATTTCCTTTGACACAAACAAATAATTACATATAAGATTTCAAGGATTTCTAAGACTTTTTGTTTATGGTCAAACATGTAATCCTATGACATTTCTTCCAAATGAGTCCACACCCCAAAATGGATATGTTGTAGATGTGTTTTTTGCAGCTTAATGTTTTACATTTTGGATGTAAATCTATTATTTGTGGTGATCTTTTAAAATGTGGCACTTACAGGGCAATAAAATATTAATTAATAGCCTTTTCATACCCCTTTTATGCTATGAATTATGTCAGAACTCCCCTTTTCCATCTCATTTTGTCAGGACATTGATGTAAAGATTAAAACAACTTGCTTCCACATAACATTTACACTATGTAATTTCAAGGATACCTCTGATTGTTAAAGTATTTTAAAAACTGAAATATTCCCATTTTTTAAAAAAAAAATAGTGCTTTGCGACCCTTTTATCAGAGTGTCTGGATGTCACCTAAATACAGCATTTATTTTACATTTATCAGTCCATATTTTAATAAATAATTCATACTTCTTTTTTACAAACTGTGTTTATATGTATGTATATAGTCCAGGGATAGAAGAACATGGCTTTTAGCTATATTCCATCAACAGTATTACTTATGTGGACACAAGTGGGATTTGTTACCACACCAACATTTTTAGTGGGTGGGCTTACAGGTTTCACTATAGTTCCTTACAGTTACCTTCAATGCAACAAATTTGCAGCTTGTCTTCCTGTATACCGGCCAAGGTTTCTAGAAATAAATGCCTTTCATCTCAGACTTTCCCAGAAATAGGGAAATATTAGCATTTTGAGGCATACAAAGTGTCAAAAATGGACCATTTTGTAGAAAAAGGTAAAAGAAAGTCAATTTTTGAAAAATATTTCAATATTTTGAATATATTTTGTAGAAAAAGGTAAAAGAAAGTTAATTTTTGAAAAATATACCAATATTTTGAATATTTTTGATGTGACTTGTTTGAAACTCTTTAAATCTTTTCGCAGAACTCACATTTCGACAAAATTAAGAAAGAATCTTCAATTCTAGAACAAAAGGCCCATGTACCTGAGCTGCAATCCGGCATACAAAACAGTACATAACTTTAAAGGGTCACCATTTCTGCAGTATTTATTTATTTTTTGATTCTGTATTATAATAATGTTGCAAAAATAAATGTGAAGCTATAAAGAAAACAATTTTGATGATATATAGTTCGTCTATTTATAGCAATTCTCTCTCTCTTTTCTCCCCTTTTGCATGCCCATTTGTGTTGATTTTTGGTCTAGAATGGACGAAGAGGGTTTGAATCAACATTTTCTGCCAGGTTTGGTAAATATTCATGATTTTGAGGCGGAAGGATAACAGGGTTATCAGGTTAGCTACGGCGATATGTACGGCAACTAGTTACATGTTTTTAGTATGCTTCTTCAAGATTGTGTATCTCAAAATTTTGGTGGTCAACCTCATACAAATTTTAGTGCAAAGACATGACCATTTGTTCCTCTGTCTGTAGTGAAAAGCATTCAGCCCAACGAAAATTTGGGGAAAAGTTGGAGGTGGGCAAAGAGGCCAGAATTAACATTGAAGTCAATGGGGAAATTAATGGTGGTCTGCATCCGTATACCTATTTGAAGTTATCTCCCTTCCATTACAAACCCGCGTAAATTAACATTCAATATGAAGCCAAATATGAATATATTGAAAATATTTTGCGTTGGGTTGATGTAAAAATGTGAAATGAGTGGGACGATGTGTTAGATTATTTTGAACGGGCTATAGCTACTAACAGATGCCTATTCACAGGTGCGATCCATCCCACTACTGCTGGACACAGGGACTTTTGCATGCTGCATTTCTGCCCTGGGCCGATTCGTCCCTCCTGAGACAGCCTGGATACTACGGGCTCCCCCGTTGAATCCATATTGATGCCTGGCTTAGTGCGGACACCCGATCGACATAGCACACCAGAGAGCAGGAATCCCATTCCCAAACCGTCCTGTAAGTAGTTAGATTACTTGAGCTCGCCACAACTCATTACAACAATAAACTTCAACTATATATTTCGATGAACATTTCTTTGAATATCGTTGTATATTATAATAATTGATATTTGGCTTCATGTTGTTATTTATTTGTATTTTTTTTTTCCGCGATCTCGTGAAATCAACTCATCATATGGAATATAAATTAGGTTACAAACCACACTCCATCTAGACCACGGACGGTTACTTAATCAGATTTCCCCCACCCCACCCTCATTTAATTATCCTGTGTGCGCAACTGGGCAAATAGTCTTCTATGGTCAATAATGACCTGTTCGGAAATAGAATCAATAATATGTGTAGTTTAAATAGAATCAATAATATGTGTAGTTTAATGGTCGAATGCGAGACATTAAGTAATATATTGATATTGTACGAGTGCCATAGCATGAGGACAATATCTATATATTACGCAATGTCTTGCACGAGACTTAAAATACAGACACTATCCAGCACGTGCATTTCAATGAAATACGTCATGCGGGTCCAATATTGTAACTAGTAGTACGCTTGGCACAATGCCCTTACCACAGATGCTTATGCACTCTCATAAACTTGCAGCCTAATATTCATAGCTAAAACCGTCAACATTCAAATTCGAGCCATAAAAAAATGACTGATAAACATGGTTTCTATATCATCAATCGTGTCGTTGCCGAAATTTTGTCGAGGAGGGACGAACCCGGTGTAAATAATTACATGAGACTGTCACAAATGTAATGGCGGGTCAAAGCGTGGACCGACCTATCGGGGGATGCGCGGATTTTGAGACCTGTGTGTCAGGGGCGGATCCAGGATTTTCAGAAGGCGGGGGGGGGGGGGGGCTGCCACTACTTGGGAGTGCGAAGCCCGGCCCTCGGTGGGCGGACTGACGGGCAATCAACCAAGTCACCAACCGGCTCGTTTCGGAGCAAATTACGATTTCCAACCTAAACTGACTGTTAATTCCGTTCCCGCGAGAATACATGGGGCACAAAATTGTTCGCCACCGCAAAAAAAATAAAGGGGGCGTGCGCTGGGATCCGCGCCTGTGCATCGACCCGCCCCACCTCGCAAAAATTGTTATCGTGGTGTGTGAATTGCCGCCGGTTGTGCCCCCGACTCATTCGGAATTATTCCACCCACATCCCATTACCGGTATAAATACTTTGTGGACCTACACTTGAAACAGAATTATAATTCAACCTTGCTATAGAATGTAGCTGAAATAAAAAAAATTCGCTTCCTATAGCATTTAACTTTTTCTGGACATGTTTTTTAAATGGAGGTTTCAAGCGAATAAGTGTTCGAGCCCCTAAGAACTTTCCCTGGATCCACTACTGATGACTCAGGGTTTTTTGTTATTTGGCCTCTTGATAAATAAAACTAGGACACACATCTATGTCAAGTATATTATTAGATTAAGGCAGCCCCAGTCACGTTGAAGCATAGCCAAGTCGACGAAGGAAAATATACGCAGGTAAGGGAGGGGTAAAACTTGGGCGGTACGATTTTATTCATCACCGGTAGAACATGTATCTGTCATAAATGTTCACCATGCATGACACGGTATACCATCCAAGCTGAATAAATCTAGTATACAAACATTTTAAACTTGATCCAAAGTTGAAGGTCGGGTTATGGTGGCTAATGTGTTGTCCTATTCAAGGTTTACATAAATATAGATGTATGAAAACTGCACGTAAAGTTCGTCTGCTATAGGAATTACAATTCTGTTTATACTTGGCACCAACAAGGAGGTAAGCATCGATACATTGCAATCTGTTGTATTATGTTTTTCTTCAGATCCACCAAGTCTATATTATACGTCCGGATGAGACGAAAAGCCCCACGTACACATTTGGCGTTCACATAAGAAAACCCATGACAGTTGGAATTCGATATAAGAGTAGGTTATAGCCCTGCTATGTTTACATGTACGTAAAATTTCAATTATGCCCGTGTTCAGAAAAGTAGGACGTTAAATCCATTTCATTTTAGCGTATGACGACCTTCATTGTTTTATTCATGTCTTCAGATAGATCAATCCTATTCTTACTATTTATAACCCTATAACAGTAAATCTCTTTGATCTTTGGTGGAGTATATTCTGTGCCCGATACCTTACGGTCTGAAAATTAGGGGCGGCTTTGAATATATGGGCTACAGAAAAAATCGGGGTTATTCTTATTAATTCTTTTTAAACCTGTAACGGGTTATTCTTCCAGGGTAGGTTTTTGTTTTCCATGAGAAAACCTGAAATAAGACATGTTTACGTACATGTTAACATAACTGGTTTATAAACAAGATAAAGTACTCGACTATGGTTATCCGGTAGAAGAAAAACTACAGCAAAACCCTCAAAAAAATAAAAATTTCCTCCTGTCGGCCTTTCTTTCCCCAGCATCAGCTCAATCTTGTGCTTTATACAACACAATAAATGACATAATGTCTCCACGTTTTAATGTGACAAGTATTCATAACCTGTTTTATATTGTTATACTGTTATAGATATAATATGCCTATTATGTGTGACATATGATAATAACTCTAGTTGTTAATTATATATAGGGCAAGGGGGTGAGATTTAAACACACCGTGAATATGATACATCGAGAGGGGTTCACTAGTCCGCGGGTGCACTAGTCCGCCGCTATAAGAAATACTATAAATGTGTGTATCGATCAACCTGACCCTAACCCTAACCCAACCCTAACCCTAATGAACCCGCGGACTATATATATATATAGTGAGCATTCCTGGATACATTTTTCGTTTTCAGATATAGGATAGGGTTGGAGTTTAACGGAGATACCCTCATCGTCTAAATCCAGCTGTCAACGGTTAATTTAAGCGCACTCCTATGACATTGTGTACACGGATGGACTTAGGTTCTTCGTTCCGTTCTAACAAATTGTCACACTTCCCTGGTTAGTTTGAACAATCACAAGGTTATTCGTGGCCCGCGATGGGATTCGAACTTACCACAGCCCCGCCGTTATCATGTTCCTGAAGCAACGTCCGCGAGTTTTATAAGGCGAGACCAATTCTTCTATTGAAGATGCGCCGTTACGTACATTAGTACTTTGTATTTTGCATGTTCGTCCCTTCTCAGCCCCGTGCACACTTGATAATTCGGACAGTAAGGAATGTTAGCCTCGCATTATACATAACGGTATTTTGCGTTCAGGACAATTCCGGATCTTGATTCTCAAAGGGAGTGAATCTAAGAAATAATGCACGATATGTTTGGTTATTGACATTTATCTTATACAAGGTAAGGTCATTTGGCTGCATCGGAAATGTTAATATACACGCGCCACGTGTTAAGATAACATATTGAATACATATTGTGGGACCAAATGTAAATAAATTAAAACTATATGTATATACACGTAATGACATTTTCGTTCAATGCAGGTCAATTTATGAGCGGATCCGTGAACGGAGGGTGCAGACAGAGGCGTATGCAGCACATGGAAATGAGGGATGGGTCGGGGATTTTAGTGACCACGTCGTTTCAAAGTTCTAAAAAACGTCAGGTTCAGGGTACCCCTGTTTCCTCTCGCTTCATCTATATCCACCCTTCGTATTTAAATCAATTAGGATCCGCCCATTTGCACTCGACAGTCTAGTGAATCTCTATAATAAACAGCGACAATAGATATTATTATTTAACTTAGTTCCTTATATATGAGAAAGAGAGAGTTCCTGATATGTGTGTGAGAGAGAGAGAGAGAGAGGGGGGAGAGAGAGAGAGAGAGGGAGAGATGGGGTTTAACGTCCGCTCGACACAAACTGGGTCATTTCGGAACTAACATATGGTTCAATTTTATTTCATTAATTCGCTTGCACTTGGTGGTATTTTGCAGTGGGAGGAAACCGTCTATTAAGCACTTTACAAGGACAAAACATTATATACATTCCAGTCTAGTGATTCTGTAAACTGTAATAAACACTGACAATAGATATAAATATATAACTTTTCCTGACATATGAGCCACACTGAACATTTTAAAATTGATACTTATTAAGTCTGGTATTTGCGTTCATTTGCGTTAAAGAGGAGCTTGGAGGTTTTTTGGTGGGCGTTAAAATGAGAGAGAGAGAGAGAGAGAGAGAGAGAGAGAGAGGGGGTAACACCCACTCGACACAAACTAGGTCAGTTCGGGACTAGCATATGGTTCAATTTTGTTTCAATGATTCGCTTGCGCAAAGGGGTCTTTAGCAGTGGAAGAAAACCGGAGACAACCCACGAGGTTGGACATGTGACCCTACTCCTTAACTAATTAACTTTCTAAAAGTCCCTTTTATCTTGTTTTTGTATTTCATAACCCCATTGTTGCTTCAAATTTTGTTATATTGTATTAGCTTGAAAACGTTGAGAGAATACTCCGCGAAACGTCGCCTAAATAAATCAGTAGATGTTTTCCATAAGTATGTGTTATAGTTTATTTATCTGCCCAGTTACTAAATGTCACTTAAAGAATATTACTTTTTGTGTTATTTTTTCCCTGATTGTTTATCTGGTTGTGTCGTCTTAGTGTATGTTTGCTTTGTTATCCTGAATTGTTTATTATGATTTAATTAATGTCCCACTTTTTTATGCACCAATCGGGTTAACGAAGACGGGTATTGTCATTGGATCTGTTACGTGCACGCTAACCTGTACACGGGACCTCAGTTGGTCGTCCCATCCGAATGACTAGATGTTGTTCCGTGCCAGGCCCACATACCCACCATCCTGAACGACTAGATGTTGTTCCTTGCCAGGCCCACAAGCCTGAACGCCCGACAAGGGGGAACCAAGCTGGATGGAAAATCCCGAGGAATATTCACGGCCGACACCGGGATCGAACACCACCCCACGATTCATATAATGTACCTAGCCAACCCGGGTAGAGAGCGAAACCGGTCACCGGAACACGGATACGTAACGTATATAGTCCGATATATTTCCGATCTAATTATTCTTTATAAAAAAAAAACCCGGATAGAGAGTGAAACCGGATACGTAGTCCGATATATTTCCGATCTAATTATTCTTTAAAAAAAAACGATGTATATGATTATACCATTAACTGATTCCTCGTTTGATAACCCACATTAAAATGATATAAATTATGAATTGTGTCCGCAACATCAGTATTCATTTTTAAAACTATTTGTTCAACAGAAGATGACGTTCAACCGCACCCGTGCCCTGATTTCTACCAACTGGTTAAGAGAACAGATACATCAAACTACTAAAAATGGTTCGTTGAGGATTTTAGAAACTTCTTGGCATCCAGATCCAAATAGAGATGTGTATAAAGAGCATTATTTACAGTGAGTATACAATTAAACATCAATTAAAAATACATTAATAAACAATTTAAAATATCTCTATGTTCAAGGGAATAGGGTTTTATAAATGTAATCAACCAAACCAAACTATGGAAGCCTATAACTACCATTCATAATTTCTACTTTTCGCCTCTTCAGAACACGAAAGTCGAAAAGTCGAAAAGTAGAAGTTACGACAAAATGTGAGGCGACAAAACGGTATACAAGCCAAAATCAACTCGAAAATAGGAAATTAAGAAATAACACCCCGCGATAATAGCGCCCCCCGTTTTTTCTTAATTTCTACTTTTCGACTTGCATTTTGGCTTGTATACCGTCTTGTCGACTTTCGACTTAGTCATATTTTTGTATTTATTGATGTCAGTAAGAAGGCGCCAACACGCTATACAAGCCAAAATGTAACTCGAAAAGTAGAAATTAGGAAATTAACACACTGCGCTATTAGCGACCTATGATCTGTCGTACTGTCGACTTTTCGCCTAGGAAGTTGTTGTAGTCTCTGCCTTCCAGGTCACATTTGAATACGCGCATACAGACATTTTTGTTAACGGGAATTGCGCGTATTCAAATGTGACCTGGAAGGCAGAGACTACAACAACTTCCTAGGCGAAAAGTCGAAAAGTCGACAGTACGACAGATCATAGGTCGCTAATAGCGCAGTGTGTTAATTTCCTAATTTCTACTTTTCGAGTTACATTTTGGCTTGTATAGCGTGTTGGCGCCTTCTTACTGACATCAATAAATACAAAAATATGACTAAGTCGAAAGTCGACAAGACGGTATACAAACCAAAATGCAAGTCGAAAAGTAGAAATTAAGAAAAAAACGGGGGGCGCTATTATCGCGGTGAGTTATTTCTTAATTTCCTATTTTCGAGTTGATTTTGGCTTGTATACCGTCTTGTCGCCTCACATTTTGTCGTAACTTCTACTTTTCGACTTTTCGACTTTTGTGTTCTGAAGAGGCGAAAAGTAGAAATTATGAATGGTAGTTATAGGCTTCCATACCAAACGCCTCAAGTAATCCCTTTAACATCAACTCGAACGCCCACCCCCTTCGCAAGCCATCTTAATTTATGGCGTTGCGCAGAAAAATTATAGGAATTCTAGTTGTTATGGGATATGATATTAAAAATAATGAAAACATATATCTTTATCTCCGGTTGATCTAAGTATACTTTGTTATCAAGACGCTCAACCTCGAACATTTGGTTTGTTTCTATTCAAATGAGAAGATATTTTAGTAGATTTTTTTATCTCAACACGTGTCAATAAAATATCTACCATTATAGTGTTAAAATACATATTGTATACAGAGAATCTCATGCAAACATATCAACATATAAATGAGGTTAAAAACTGGAGGCCCTAGCGAGGAATTTGCATTTATTTGATGGCCATTGTAGATACGCGTATAAATCTGTACCCTGAACGGCCGCCACGTCGAAAAACTACTATTTTGTTATGCGGTTTTAATACATTTTCCATCGTTCATGAAATGTGAAAATAGAAGCTAAATAAATACTTCTCAAAACTCTCGAAGTATAAAATCGTCGATGTTATAGCAATCAAAATGTCGGTCAACTAGTTTCGTATGGTTTTCATGGTGTTTTTATATGCAGTTGCATGCTAATTTGGGGAATTTTGGCTTCATTTTGTGCAATGGTGACTTGCAGGCTAATTAAAATGGGCATAATCCTACACCTAAAATCAAACTGTTCTACAGTAAATTTACGACGAACTAATATCATTCTTTAGCATCGATGATAGTTTATGTAAGATATATACAACCCACCGGTGGCTAAGTGGGTAAGACGCTGGCTCGCTAGCCTGGAGGTCAGGTATTCGATCCCTGCATTGGTCGAGAAAGTTAATCCAGATTTTCCGTCGTGCCCCCCCCCCCACACCTCTTGTCAGTGATGCAGGACGGAGGGCCTGACAAGGACAGCTGTCTAGTCGTTCGGATGGGACGAAACACCGAGGTCCAGTGTACACTTTGGCGTGCACGTAAAAGATCCATTGACAGTTGGAATTCGATATAAGAGTAGGCCGTAGTGCCGTTGTCCGGGCAAAATTGATGTATGGCGTATGCCCGTCTTCATTAGCCCAGTTCGGAGCAGAACAGTAGGACGTTAAACCCCATTTCATTTCATTTCATTTCATGTGCATTTTGACAGTGTGCACAATGCCAATCTGATTAAAACACACCCTTTTTCGTTTCGTTTTTTTATAGTTCAAAATTTCGTTTTACTTGTCTTTACTACACTAGGATCTGGAAAAGTTGTTGTACCGTATAAACGCTTTCTGGATGATATGTGCGATTCGCTAATGACACAATCTGTTACGGCGAGTTTTTTGGCGTGAGGTGCACGGAGCTGTGGGTAACCCACTAGAAACATCAACGCTGATGGGTTAATCGAATATCTGACGTCATAGGTCAAAAGTCGCTTGTATGATCTCTGACGCGACCTTCCAACAGATCTTCATGTAGTAGAGCTCATCGAAAGTATAAAAAAAAAAAAAACGAAATGAAATATATTTTAAGCAGATTGGCACGATGCGTAATCACTATAAAACATTACATGTTATTAATAATTTTACTATATCGTTTCAGAAGTCACATACCGTCCTCTCAGTATTTTGATATAACTAAATGTGCTACAAGAACACAGTATATGAAGAGGAATGTACCCGATTTAAATTGTTTTACTGATTATGTACAAGGCCTTGGTGTCAATAATAATACACATATTATAGCTTATGATAGATTTAATACACTCTCTTCTGTTAGAACATGGTGGATATTTAGGGTGAGTTTCATTATGAATATAATCTTTAAACGTATATCTAGTGTTAGACCGCGTTTACACAAAAGCAACGGTGTCTATACTAACGTCACAATGTTTACAGTTATGTCACGTTGTATATTATACAAACGTCACCGTGTCTATACTTACGTCACAATGTTTACACTGACGTCACGTTGTATATACTAACGTCACGGTGTTTATAGTTATGTCACGGTGTCTACAATAACTTACGTCACAATGTTTACACTGACGTCACGTTGTATATACTAACGTCACGGTGTTTACAGTTATGTCACGGTGTCTACAATAACATCACTGTGTTTACTCTGACGTCACCGTCTTAATACTAACGTGTTTACATTAGCGTCACGGTGTCAACGTCACCATGTTTACACGAACGTCACTGTATCTACACTAATATCACAATGTCTACACTAATATCACCATCTTTACACTAGCAGCACGATGTCTACACTAATGTTACTTTGTCTACACTAACTTCACAATGTCTACACTAACGTAACGATGTCTACACTAACGTCACTATCTTTATATTTCACGACCATGACCTCTATACACACAAGTGCATGCAAATTAATACAATCGTCAGCATGGTCATCACTTCAGACCACATCGTCGTTGACGTAAATCTATATAGATAATATCTATCATATAATCAATGGTGAATTATTTCAGTATTTTGGCCATGGAAAAGTTTCTGTTTTAGATGGTGGTTTTAAAAAATGGTTAGCAGACGGATTTGAAGTCACAGACGAAGAGCCAACATTCAAAGTATACAATTTCACATTGTTCTAAAAATAGTTCTAAAAATGAATGGGTCTACTATTAGAAAAATTTAGCCCGTGAACTTAGGTCATATTTAAAACTTTAATTTCTAACTGGCATACATATTCCTGAAGCAATAGCCCAAGAAATCCCTCTCTGGCCATTGCTGGATAAGCTTCTGATACTTGAGCTTTTGAGGGAGTGTGTCTGTTCTTCCCGTTCCATCAAATCTATCCCAAGTACAGCAATATGACAGCCATTCGTTTTATCTAGGGTCTTCCGTAAAACTTTGAACGGTGATTTAAGGTATTAAAAACTGTGAAAGTCTTGTTCGTCTCCCAAACAGTATTGTTTACATCGTATCCTTGTCAATAGCCTTGTTCGTCACGCAATTAGTTTTTCTGCAAAATTCTGCCATGCATTGGTTAATTGGGCATAATGAAATGTAAACATAGTTCCTTGGGGTTTTGCAGTGTGATTCTTAACAAAAACACTTTCTAGTCCTTCGAATGGAAGAAAAAAAACGAGGTCCCGTTAAGATGTTGCCGTGTACATGTGGGTGCAGAAACGTTACCCCTACCCCACCCCACCCTACTCTCTCTCCCCCTCAATCCCCCTTTCTCAACCTCTCGCCAGTACAATATTGTTAATATATACCTGGTATTTTATTATAGAGGGGTAATTTCACTGGTAGCTGTGATACAACGTTATATAGAGACTATGAAGCCATGTGTGATAATATAAAGAGTAAAAAAGAACAAGTTATCGATGCTAGAAATAGTGAAAGTTTTCGAGGAGAAGATGATCCCGGACCAGGTAAAACAGACAATCCCAGCAAATATATAATTTGGCGTTAATTGTGTATCTTCCATCGGTTCTTCTGATAAAAGAGAAGCGAAGATTAATAGGGTTTGATGAATGCTCAGATGATTGTCACCTCTAACACAATTGGGTCCATTCGGAGTGCGAATCACATGCTAAGACCCTCTATACTAAGACCCTCTATTAGAAAATCCTCTTGAACATCATAAGTCCACATTTACAACTTTGACTACCTTCAGATTACAAATTTGTGAATTACTGTACCGGCGTAGATGACCTATCGGAAACCGAGATTTTATGTAGGGGGGGGGGGGGGCACTGTTTCTATGTCTACTTTTCGATTTTTCAACTACCAATATGTACACGTGACCCCGTTTTTATCGCAACATCCGATTTTTTTTAAAACAAGACTTTTATGAGAAAAGTGTCACGGTCGTGTGCTTTATCCTTTATCATCAGATGGTGGGATGGGATGGGCATACAAAGCGCGAGATAATGATATGTGATATCACAATTATTGCTTTGCATACATGAAATGTGATCCTATTAATTCATAATAAAAAATGAGGTCAAACGGGGTGTTGGATTTTTTTATCTTTAACAGGCTTAATACCACTCTTGTTGTAACTGAATAATATGTCCCAATCTTTATTCTGGTCAACAAATTGTACTATTTTACAATATTTCAATTAATTGATGATACAAATTTCATCTTAACACACCTTATTTAAAATCTTTGAAAAATTCAAATGAAACTTCGATTTAAATATATTTTCGAACCCTCTGGACAAGTAAAATAGGATGTAATGGATAATTTACGCAACTTGTAGGACAGTTAAACATCTAGTACTTAGATAGAGATATTATTTATTTTCTGGAGCTTTCAAGCCAGCAAGAGTGTTATTGTCCCTTTAAAAGCTAATTATGCATGTATGCCTACGTACTTTGGAGACGATGATTGCATCATGCATTGTCAACAGTCAAATTTCCATAACAGGAACCTGGCAAACCCCCTCCTGCAAAAATTCCTGGATCCGCCCCTTAAACAAGACGCATATGCTTACCACTCTGAGAGTTTTCTATTTTTATTTACAGAAGTAAAGAAAGGTCATATGTTAGGGGCTAAAAATATTCCATTCAGTACTTTGTTTAATGATGACGGCACTTTTAAATCTGAACGGGAATTAAAATCACGTAAGTAAAAATATCCTTAGCACTTTCACAATATCTTCTCATTTCGGCTCTGATATGGAAGCCATAAGATTGCTTTAATAATTCCAGTAGCGGTGGGGAGGCGGCCACAAGTCGCAACAAGGAAGCGATATATTTTGTAATTTCGTCCCGTGGAGTTTAGTGTTAGCACAGGAAGTAGCAACAAAAAAAAAAAAAAAAAAAAACGACCGAAGGTCGAAAGGTCGCGAGTAAGCGCCCGAAAAATTTTGCGATATTGAACCCTTCTTGTGCTGTTAAAATTGTTTACAATTCTATCTCTAGTTATCAGTGGAAAGCGAAATGAAATGGGGTTTAACAACTGCACCTTTCGGAATAATATTTGCTATGAGGGAGGGACTGTCTGTCTGTTCAAGGTTATTTTTAATTAAAATGGGCACAACTTAACGACCTACCTGAAATAGTCAACCCTTTACTTTCTACCGCGTCAAGGCTCGATGAAGAAAGTAATGGGGTGACATTTCCAGGTAGGTCGTTAATTTGTAACCATTTTAATTAAAAATTGAAGAAAAGGCAATCAGTTTTCGAGTTGGAGTATCTACCTGGAACAAACAGTAGCCGCGATTACAATTGCGTACAGTTATATCCCTAGTTATCAGAGGGTTGGATGGCCGAATGGTTAGCAAGTGCGCGCTGTATCATAAGGTCTGTCATCCAGTCAACTGGATTGGTTTCGATTCCCCGGTTGTACGTGGCAAGGAGAACGGTCGCTTGTCTAACCTCGTGGGTTTTCTCCGGGTCCTTCGGTTTCCTCCCATTGCTAAAGACCCCTTCGCGCAACCGAATTATAGAAATAAAATTGAACCATATGTTAGCTCCGAAATGACCTAGTTTGTGTCGAGTGGGCGTCAAGCCCCATTTCTCCTCCCCTCCCCCTTAGTTATCAGTAGGGTGGCTAGGTGGGTAAGGCGCTGGCTCGCTAGCCTGGAGGTCGGGTGTTCGACTCCTGCATTGGCCGAGAAAGTTCCTCCAGATTTTCCGACGTGGTTTCCCCTTGTCAGTGATGCAGGACGGAGGGCATTACAAGGACAGCTGTCTAGTCCTTCGGATGAGACGAAAAACCGAGGTCCCGTGTAAACATTGGAATACACGTAAAGGATCCCTTGGCAGTTGGAATTCGATATAAGAGACGGCGATAGTGCCGCTGCCCGGGCAAAATTTCCCTCATAGCACACTGTATGGCGTATGCCCGTCTTCATTAGCCCAGTATAGGAGCAGAACAGGAGGACGTTAAACCCCATTTCATTTCATTTCATTTAGTTATCAGTAGAAGCACACTCTTTCTTTGGTTTATATATCAACGGAACGATAAACATTTGGTTCCTTAGGAATCGTTCACGAGAACGTCGAATTCGCTTATAAGAGTTGTCAATCGGAAGTAGAATTTGATTAAATGATTTTAGAGCAAAATGCGCTCAAAATTGAAAACTTTTCACCCCGGTTCCTGCTAAAAAAGAAACCAGTAGGATATTGGCTCACCCGCAAACCTCGAATTTAGTTTTCAGTTTTAGAGTCCGAATTTACAAAAAGAATCAAATGAATTCAACTAACATAGTTAAGACTATTATAGAAACTTTAAAAACAGTTTTTTTTTAATATTTACACAATTCGTTTCAGTATTTAACGCAGCAGCTGTAGATCTTGGTAAACCAGTTACCGCCATGTGTGAAACGGGATTAACAGCCTGTGGTCTGGCACTAGCTGGGAATTTATTAGGAAAGGAAACTATTCCAGTTTATGCCGTATGTAGTCTTTCATTCGTATTAATGCCATTTTGCTATTCCCCTAATGGTGTTATCTCAAATATTATGTCTTGCTATTGAAGGAAAGCGAATGCTATGTTGGTGTATTGGTCACGGCTTTAACCACAGGCTAATTCATTTTTATAGTTCGGTAAACAAGTCGATTTAGTACATATGAAGATAGAGATACAATTCTGTGGTTACACGAATGTAAAAAATAGAACTGAGAAAGCGTGGACAATAGACTGTGCAAGTCAGATTTCGCTTAGCCTGGACAATCTAGTCATCTCGTTCCGCCAGCTAGGATCTGAATGGCCTCGTCGTTAAATTTGAATTCTTACTTATGGAGCATGACTATCTACAATCGAAACAACTTAACCGTGTCCGTGACTGACTAATTTATACTGGATGTAAGTAGGATGGTTTACAGGTTATCGTGAATATTAATAATTATTGAGGAGGAAGGGTCGGGAGTTACGTTAAAGAGGCGCAATCTGATTAAAATACAGATCTATATTTCGTTTCGTTTTTTTTATACTTTCGATGGCCTCTACTACATGAAGATCTGACCGATTGTAGTGGGAGGTCGCGTCAGGCGTCATACAAGCGGCTTTTGAACCTATGACGTCAGACACTCGATTAATCAATCAGCGTTGATGTCTAGAATACCCACAATTCCGTGCACAGCACGCCAAGATCTCGCCGTAACAGACCGTTTCATTGGCTAATCTGTCACATCAACCAGAATGCAAGTTACATAACAACTCTTTCCATTCCTAGTTTAGTAAAGACGAGGAAGACGAAATTTTGAACAATAAAAATTGAAACGAAATAGGATCTGTGTTTTAATCAGACTGAAGTAGACGTCCACAGAATTTCAACTTTAAATGTAAAACATTGATCAGGTTTATCCCCCTTAAAGAAAAATATCAGGAAAAAACATGGACGTCATTGCAGAAAAATTAGTAGCCTTACTCCAGTTTGATCACCAAAATAATAGTTATCTCCCCTTAATAGTATTATCACTTGATAATATTGGGAATACGAAATAGCTCACCTTTATTCAGGCAAACATTTCTGATTTACATCGACGTGTGTGCACACGTGTGTTTGTGCTATTAAGTAAAATATAGGCTGGTATGTTAAAGATTCGTAAATATTTGCGTTAACTAAAATACGAACTCTCGCAAGAGTTATCTTCCTTCGAAGTTCGATATTCCGATGGCCTCATTTTTCTTTTTCTCACCATACTCTTACATTTATCATTCAAATGCTATTTAAATTTTTGAAGAGTGAAATAGTTTATACACATTATTAGTAACATGTTAGTACCAAAATGTCGGGTAAAAGTTTTATAATTGTCTTCAAATAGGTAATGGGTGTCAGAGAACTATTCATTACACGAGTTATTCCCCCCTTAATGCGACCCGTTTCATAGGTTCAACCCCTCACATTATCCGCGCCGAGACCCTGAAGTCGTTTTCTGTAATTATGTATTCTAATTTCAGGGTTCAATGCATGAATGGGGTCAAAAGGCACCAATTGAACTGTGTGTAACAGGAAAATCGTGAGGTTACGATTAGGTGTTGATAAGAAATAAAAAAGATTAAGTAGTCATATGATAACAAATTGTTTTTCTCAGTGGATCCAGTCCAAATTGTCTCTGCTTCGATTACCACAGATTTTCGTTGTAGTTCAAGGGATAACATTTTGGACTGAATCAGATGAGGCTAAAAATATGAGATTTGAGACTATTATATAGCTTTGCCAGGACTTGAGCTTTCAAATATGAAATGAGCAGATGATTAAATGGAATTTGTCATTTTTATGAAACATGTTTATTTTCATCATTTATGGAAAATGGCAAAATAACATTCATTAATTTGTAGAAACAAGTAACATAGAAAACTACAAAATCTATTTTAATAAAGTAGAGATTTATTTTCTAAAATCTGCAATAGCAGGCTATTATATAATTGAAAATGCAGCTATAGACTACTTTTGACTGAACCTGCCAAAAGCACCGAACCTTGTATAATTAAATTATATGTAAATATCAGTCTAAGAGATTTTTTTTTCTTTTTCTTTTTTTAATATCAATTGAATTGTATAATTTGTGTTAATTTACTAGTCTAATAAATATAATCTGTTATTAAACATGCAAGAGCAAAATCTGCTTATTACAAGTCTTTCTTTAGGCCTGAAATGTTATCTAAATTATCAATTAGACATTAATTAACTTATCCAGACCATAATAAACTCTCGATGTCAAGGCTAGCTTTCGATGTAGGCTGGATTAGATTCCTATATGCTGCTAACGGCCAAAGATAATTAAATCAGAAAAAGTGGATAATCGAGACTATGCTGTTTATATTAATGATTTTAGTAATGATAACCAAGACTATGCAAAAATTTCACCGGCTTCTTTCTCGGCTCATAGTGGATCAATTTGACTGAAATTTTCAGCAAATTACCTTTACACTATCTAGTTTTTAACTATTATAGCGAGAACTGCCATCTCTTTATCTTATCTCCCATAATGTATCTTTAATATAAGCAAGGTGCCTTTTTTTGGAGGCAGTGTGGTTGACAAAATATTGAATAGATTCCTAGTTATTCTGTATCTTTTTGCTACTATGAGATATCACTGTGCAATATTATTTGATTTTGTACTGGAATTTCTTAGCACTAACTTTGGTTTTTGGCCAATGAAAAAGCCTGCATTCTAAAAATAATTTAGTTAAAGGGGCATTATATAAGATTCAGATAAAGAGCTGACAGTTCTGCTATAATAGTTAAGAAATAGATAATGTAAAGGGAATATGCAGAAAAGTTTAGTCAAATTACTTCACTCTTGAGCCGAGAAATTCTCATTGTCATTCTTACCGTTGTTAGTATAATAAACAAAGTCTCGATTATCCATTTTTAAGTTAATCCTCATCAGTCGTTGAACCGCCCGCATATCGGATTCAAATCTGTTTAAAATCGGACCCATCTGATGGCATCGAAGATCGATTTTTTATGGTCTTGTCATATTAACAAATTTATAATTAATAGTTTATATATAACATTTAAGGTCTAAAGAAAGACCTGCAATAGGCAGATTTAGCTATTAATGCCTGTTTAAGTTGATGATTTTGGTATGATTACCTAAGCAATGTTTGTGATAAGAATGTTTCTGTTTCTGCTAAGACTTCTGTAAATTCCAACTGCCAAGGGATCTTTTAAATGCAACACCAATCGTATTTTGTCCATCAGTTAGATAACCCCAGTTTCTAAAGATAAGCTCTTTTTCTAAAGATGATTTCTTGTTTCGTTATGCAAGTTCATTAGACTTCAGTATTTAACAGCACAAAGACACCCTCTGTATTAAGTTTTTTTTACACCTTTATTTGTAAATGAAGGGCTGAAATAAATTATATTTTAAGATGAAATGGTTGTTTTATTATTACTATGTAGGGGAGATTTACACGGGTTGCATAATCTTCCTTTAATAGAACAGACGTAATGATTGGAAAATGGTTTTATAAACCCAATCCCTTATGCAACTAACCACGGTCCACGACTAACAAATGTCCCCTCCTCACCCTACCACTCACCACCCAAACACACCTTGATCAAATTGCGAAAATGGTGCTCTAACCCACTCCCTTACGTAACTGACCATGGTCCACGACTAACAAATGTCCCCCCATCACCCTACCACTCGCCATACATGCACACCTTGATCAAGAAGAATTGGACTGAAAAACTATACCACTGCATTTATGCAAGTGACCCCATCCTTGAGTAAATGAAATGAAATGGGGTTTAATGTTCTACTTTTCTGCATGAACAAGGCTAATGAAGACAGGTCGTTCAAGAGTATGAATGTCCCTCTCATGTTAGCCTTAGCCTTGTGTCCCCTCTCCCCCCCCCCCCACAAAAAAAAAAAAATAAAAAAATATCTCTTTAGCCTTCAGATGATTTATAGATGATGAAAGCAACCCCCCCAATTGCCATATACGATCTGTGCTAGTGGTAAACTCTTCTGATGGGTCTGCTTTTAATCCAACTGGATCCAAGCTGGAAGATTATCTAGAATTGATAACTCGATTTTGTTTCCTTAATGGAGAAATTTATTTCAGTTCCACAGTCTTTCCTTCACCCCCAATACAATTACAAGACAAAAACAGATTTGAATCAAAAGTAATTTATTCACACCATACCCTTTTTAAATGATATATATATATATAAAAGATTACTATTGTATTACAATGTCTTATTATACAAGAATGAAAGATTATATTTTATTATTTTAAATATTTACATCAATTTTACATCAAAATAAACCACAACCACTCACTCCTTCAAAATAAAATATTTGCCAAATTATGTTTTATTTAAAAAATCCAGTTTTCCTTAAAAATTCATTTCTATATGTGAAATGACTGGCTTATGATCGATGTTTAACGCCATTATCTAAAACAGATTATTCTAAGCTTTACAAAGCCTGGTTAAAAGCATCCTTCCCTCTAAACTCTGTGTATGCAAACACAAATTTTGCAACAAATGGATAAAAGAAATTATTTTCACAGGAATTAAACTTGCATACCTAGGATTTTTGGGTAGGAGTATATATATATATGTCGGGGAAAAGATAAACTCATGAAAGAAGCTTTTGCCTCAGCTCCAATGACTTCATTTCAAAATTTGTAAGTGTTTTTCACACCTAGACACTATAAATATAACTGTATGTATTATGTTTTTGGTTTAATTCTTTGTAATGTCCAAATATTAAAGCATTTGCTATAAAGCATGTAATTTGACTGACAGCTAAATACTTCGGCTGGTCACATGCACTGCCAGTCAGTTAAGACTGGCATATATGCCTGAAATGGAAGCCTTGCTCAGAACCATGCATCCTTTTACATCAAGTTCATCTTCCCCCCCGAATCTCGGACACAATTTTCCTCCAACACGCAAACAAAGCCTTAAAATTACCAATTCATTACCCTACTCATTTACACAAAAGGCAAACATTTATTTAAAGCACACACTCTTGATGTACAAAATAATAAAAAATCAAAATATACAAAAATGGTTATTAATAAAAAAAATCTTTTGACAATTAAAACCAACAAGGTGATATATTATGATGTATATAATTAACTCTTTCGTTACGGGTCAATATGGTAACCAGCTTCCTGTATCCATTTCTATTAGAAGCTACATGTACTGATATTTAAATGGATCCTGTCACTGGGTAGCACACGCTGACCCAATGACTCCTGACCCAATGACTGGGGATTTGAGTGTCCTGTTTATTGTGCTCATTGCTATTCTAGGCCTAGAATGAGGCCCGGTAATCAGGTCCAACAGACAATTTATGAGCAGACATTACTCTATTTTTGGCTAAGTTAGAAAGAGTTAATTATTACTTGATTAACAATCAATTTTATGTCAGCTAATTGTCAACAGTCATACATTTGTGAAAATTTGCCACATATCGAATTCGGCCCCATTCAATTCACGATCCATTTAACAGTAATTTTATAATCTTTATATATAAGTTGGTAACATATAGTCAATATTAATATTAATTACATCTGATAGACAACTCTTATTTAAATATATACATCAATTAATTTGTTATTAAATATTTTAATCTGGATTAAAATGACTTGATGTAATTTTAATAAACTATAACACATACTTAGTGACGGCAATTATTAATTTCATTTTGGTGACATTTCACAGAGAACATTTTAACAAACTTAAAAATGTTGAGAGAATATTCTTCAAAACGTCACCAAAATAAAACTAGTAATTGTTCTTCAATAAATGAAATGAAATGAAATTAATGGGGTTTAACATCCTACTGTTCTGCTCCGACTGGGCTAACAAAGATTGACATATGCCATGCAGTGTGCTATGAGGGAAATTTTGCCAGGACAGCCTACTTTTATATCGAATTCTAACTGCCAAGGGATCTTTTACGTGTAAACCAATGTGTACACAGGACCTGGTTTTTTTTTTGTCTCATCCAAACGACTAGACAACTATCCTTGTCAGGCTCTCCGTCCTACACCACTGACAAGGGGAAACCAGGCCGGAAAATCCCTTAGCCACTGTGGCTCCCGTTCTTCAATAAGTACATGTATGTGTTATAGTTTATTGTTCTATCTACCCAGCAGTTACTAATGACTCTTAAAGGATTATTGTGGTTTATTACATGTACAATATACCATAATATTATTTGGGATTAATTAAGGTTTTATACTTCAGAATACAAATATACTCTTATTCAATTATTACTACTACTAGGGACATTTTATAAAATGTTACAGGACATTATGTGAGTTCTTGTATATTATACTTCAGAATACCATATACTCTCATTTAATTATTACTACTATGGATGCTACATGTGACATGTGAGCTCTAGTATGTATTAAGAGGGATTTCAGGTAAGTTCTAGTATATTATACTTCAGAATACCATATACTCTTATTTAATTATTACTACTACTGAGCACATTTGTTAATGCTACATCACATCATGTGAGCTCTAGTAAACTAGTTCATGTATGTTTTAAGAGGGATTTCAGAGTAGTATATTTATATAGCCAGGATAATGTTAATGTAAATTAAAATAACATAACGTTACATTTTGTTGATAAATTGTTTCCCAATTTGTAATCTAAAATGAAATATGTGAAATTAAAATTTGTATTTAGGATGTCAGAATTTACAGCATATACTACTGTTCACATATTTGTAATTTTGCTCATTTGGAATGTTGACATTATTTTTTTTTAAAGTAAAGTAGTTTCTCTAGATCTACAAAAATACCTACAGAACCGATGACTATTATCAATAGATAACATATATGTATGTTAACGGCCATTCTCCAAAATCTATCATTGTCTGTTAGATGGTGAAAGTCAAAAAATTTGGTGTGGCTTGTATCCACATGGTCACTGTACATGTATGGTGAACTGAAAGCCAAAACATTTGTTTTAGCTTGTATATAAAATAATTGTGGGTACAATAATACAGTGATACCAGGCAGTGAGCCCCAAACATTTCGCCTGTATGATTCCCACAGTCCTGTCTACATAAAAGCCATATACAGAGAGAGATGGACCGACTATTGTCTTAATTCTGGGTACCATATAATACAGTGATACAGACAGTCAGCCCCAAACCTTTTGCCTGTATGATTCCAACAGTCCCGTCTACACAAAAGCCATATATGGAGAGAGTTGGGCCGACTATTGTCTCAATTGTGATCAGGTAACAAAATGGCTTATTTTTCTAATCTTAGTTCTATGAAATTACAGATTATGACAAATTCCCGCCTCTGCCTCACTATATCATATGCAGTACTACCATTCCATTCATTTTCACTGATACTTATTATTTCATATTTGTTTTGCGATTAATTAATTTCAAGATTTGGTAACAAAATGGCCACAGTTGGTTAGATTCTTTCTCTACACATGTAGATGGCACTGGTTTACACCATAGTGATGGGGTTTTGGAGAATGACTAATTAAATTCTAACAAATCAAAATAATTTTTCTACAATGGTATTTTTATTCTACCAGTTGATATGATATGCTGCAATTTCCATTGGGGGAATTTCAATAGTGGTTTTAGCATGAATTATCCTCTTTTCATAAAGATGGGTTAGAGTTGTTTCCCTTATACTGGAAATAGGAAATTTATTGAGCAAAGTTTGAAGAGAAATCTGCTGATTATCAACAGAACACTGTAAACCTACATCAGGGAAATCACAGTCGTAACCACGCCGATGTAATATTAGACTCGTTCCATTATGAATGAAATTAGCAGTGGCTAAACTTCTAAATGTTACGACTGATATATCACAGGGTAGCGGCAATGATACCGGTGACACAGTCTTGTGGAAGATATCGGAATCTATAGTGCTATAATACTTCACTACGGGTTGCTGTAAAAAGTCGTTGGTCGCGACACTTAATAGCGACGGTAATGCATAATGCGAATTTTGGTGCTTGTTAGGACCACGTCTGTTTTCCAACAGTAACACAAAATTACTAGTCACTGGTTTGTTGTCTTCCACATGTTCTCCTAATCCGCGATGATCGTCATATGTTAACTGACGATCTAACATCACTTCCAGCCACCCATTCTCTAAACTCGCGACACCGTGAGATTGGGCAGACAATAATGACAAACGCTGTGTGTTATCTTCCAACATGGCCATCGAAGTCATAGGATAATAGTTCGCTTCGATACGTAAATTTGAATTAGTTTTTCTGCGGATCAACTGAAATCCATTTTGATCCGTGAAATACGATCCATCCCTATTATTGATGCTCGTCTTAAACCGCATGACAAATTCTCGATCTTTCAAAGGTCGAATGTCGACATGATTTTCGATATGTATTCCTTGTGACTGGAGAGTCGGTACGTGATACAATGTGACAGAATATTTCAAATAGTGATTAAACACAACCTCTAATTTCGAATATATGGGTCCCGATATTTTCCTAATCACTGGAATGTCATAAATAACTTTAGTGTTTTCTGTGGGCGATGGATAGAAAATGTACGCTCCACTACCTTGCGATTTGTACGCAAAATAATCCATGGCTACGTCTGTTTTATTGCCAGTTTCTTTATCTAGCACACTTGTCATCGTTCCTTTAGTCGCATCAAATCCAATACGCATGTGTTCATTCTCAAGTACGATTGGTTGAATCGGTTTTGATTCTGGCCGTTGAATGTAAAACTTCACGTTTTTGGGAATACTGAGTTCATCTGTATTGTAGATAGATATTCGCGATGGAAAAACATTATTCACGTCTAAATGATCTGCTTTAAATAAAATAAACGGTACGATACCAAATGGGGGTAACGTCACGACGAATGCCACTTCGAAGACGTAGGGACTCACAGTGGTCCGATTTAGCCATATTGGGTTGACTTGACAGGGTACGATTTGGAATTTTTCATTTTTGACGATAATTGTACTAGAATCCACCAGAAATCGAACCACTTCTTGTCGATATTGTGGAAGGGGATTGAACAACATGACACGTACGTTTGAGTCAGCGAGTTTAAAGATTTTTTTCAGTGGTTCCTCGTCATGGGCTGGTCGTATTGTTTCGGGTCGGAACACCAATGGAGACATTAATTTTCCGCTACTTGCTAGAATCTGAATGGCTGTTTTCATTACCAACTGTGTGTTATTGTAGGCTTCTGCTAATTTTTGTTCGTAGTCCACGACAACAAATTCCTTAGCAGTACCAGTAATGGCGTCATGATGTAGGAACAGACCCAGGGCACGTCGCGCTTTCAGCAGCAGCGTAGAAAACTGAAAGAATTGATCTTTGTAGTTCATATCCCATTTCTTCAAGTGTGTGTAAGCTAATGTATTCAAAATGTCTGCTGCTTGTAGATTTGCTTGTAAATCTCTACTAAACTTCTTGTCAAATGGCCGAGTCGTATAATATCCTGTCCAATAAGCATTCTCTTGATCTGAATACGGAAAGAAGTCCCCGCTAAGGACAGGGAAACCATTGTTTGGATGTTTTATGATATTCTTTTTATTCTTTTTATTCGCTACTTTAAAATAATCCTTCAGAGTTCCGAATCGTACATTTATTTTCCAGTCCTTTCGGTTATTCATATAGTCCATGAGACGCTGATAATTATTATATTGCTGATCCCATTCGATTTCCATATCATATCGGAAATCATCACCCAAAGGAACTAGAACAGTATTGTATTTGTATAAGTACGATTTCTTTCGATATTGTTCATACAGATATGTAGCCAGTTTTTCAACATTATTAGCATTAATAGACTTCGCTCGCGATTCGCTCACTTCATTGGTGATGTGTCTAAAATCAAACAACAGACAATGGAAACGGTTTGGTCCGCAAGTAAATTTAATATTGTACAACATATATGGCATTACATGACACAGAATATCTGAGGATCCTTTAGCGTCCCACATCTGTCGCCACCAAAACTCTAAACTTTTCGTCTCCGCCAGCGTACTTTTGATCGCCTGATGAACTCTCTGAATCACCATATTTTCCATTCCAGCTTTCTTCCAAATATACGGCATCGTTCCTGAATATCCAAACGGGTCAATAGACCAACTGTTTTTTGGTTTCACTCCGAGATTTTCCCACAACCACTGATGACCTTCAAGAAGCTGGTCAATGACCGACACATAATGAGTTGTGGCTTCATCAGGCATTACCCATCCCCCCAACACGATTTCTAACTGACCGCGACGAATCAAACGACGGACGTGAACTTTGACGTCGTCATCTAACTCGTTCCACCACATGCTAAAAAACACGGTTTCCGTCCAAATAAACGTCATATTTGGATGTTCGAATAATTTATTCACCATATTTGTTAAAATATGTTTCGTTTGATCCACGTAATATTCTTCGACGGTTTTCAACCAACCAGGATCGTTGTGAGAGTGCGGAACTATGATCACATCAAGATGATCGAGTTCATTTTCGGAATTATTCGGATAATCGGGAGGAGGGGAGGCCATTTCGTATGATCCATCGGAATTCATATTAAACTCTGACTTCTGGTAAACATCAAATGTCGAGATCCGAGATTGCGACTGTTCCCAGGACTGTAAATTACACATTTCAAGATTTTTATGAAGTACGAACGACTCGTTAGGTTTCTTTGGCCACAGACGCGATTGGACAAGACGGGCTTTTTGGATGTGTGCATCTTCCCACGTTGATTCTTCACTGACCATTAGGTAAACGAAGAGGGTGAAGAATGCCGACCCGCACAAGATAATCAGACGCTGCCAAAACTTCATCCTTGACGACATCAATGGTAATATACGGATTCTACTCATAACGAGACATAACTAACTATTCTCTGGTTCCTGAAAATATAAAAAGGATTAAAATTAATGAATTGATCAAAGGATTTTATGGTACAAAAACAAGTGCAAGACTTTCACTCATGATTGTAAAGTCTACAATCTGCTGTGCATACCTACTGAGACTCTAATGTAGAACAAGTGACTTCTCAGAGAATTTTTCTCCCTAGTCAAGGCTAATTACTTGAACCAGTCCAAGAGTATTTTTCTCCCTAGTCAAGGCTAATTACTTGAACCAGACCCACCCTACCCGATCAACCTTCCACAATTATTTTAATAATTCGCTTGCACGTAGGAGTCTTTAGCAGTGGGAGGAAACTGGAGGAACTGGAGAAAACCCACAAGGTTGGCGAGTGACCCTACTCCTTGTCACGTACAAACTGGGGAATCGAAACCACACCAGACCTTATAATACAATGCACACGTGAACTAACCATTCGGCCATCCCAACCTTCTTGATACTGAGTAGTTCATATTCCAGTAGCTGTTATATACCCCCAACCCACCCTTGAAAATATATCTACAAATATGTCTTCCTGTAAACTGTTTACTTAAAATACATTCTTCAATTTAGACCTACAACCTTAAAGAATTTAAACATCTTAAAAATATCAACTCAGAGTTTATTCTGGGCAGCAGAGTAAACATGTTTCAAATTAACCAATTACAACACATATAGAAATTTATGAGCAATTAAACTTGTTGACAAGCTATTAAAATCTTGTATAAAATAGCCTGTATTTAACATTTGGAGTAAATTAAACGGATTTTACATGCCAGGGATGACTTGTTTATTTGATGGAAGACATGTCGGTGGTTATAACAGGAAATGCAGGATGACCACACTGCACACAAAACCAATAAAACAAACCTACGGACAAGACACTCAATTAACATAGACACTGCTAGCAATAAACAACAATCGGATACATGTATATAGAGAGAGAGAGAGAGAGAAATGGGGTTTAACGTCCACTCGACACAAACTAGGTCATTTCAGGACTAACACATGGTTCAATTTTATTTCAATAATTCGCTTGCGCATAGGGGGTCTTTTAGCAGTGGGAGGAAACCGGAGGACCCAGAGAAAACCCACGAGGTTGGACACACATACAACCGGCGATTTGAAACCACGCCAGTTGACTCAATGACAGGCCTTATGATACAGACCGTGCAAGTGCCAACCATTCGGCCATCCAACCCCCCTATATGTACATGTATATATCAAATCAAGTGAATGGATCTGAGAGAGGTGTGTGTGGGGGGGAAAGGGACAGTTTTAAATGTCCACTGCACTGTTAGAACACATCATACTGCCAGGAATTAATGTCAGAAAGAAATTAACAAGTTGATCGAATGAGAGTCAATGATGCAGTAGCATGGCGGAGCTTTCGTCCCCAGATACAGGTGTTAAGGAGGCACAAATGTTTCCTCTCAGCACTGTCCTATAATATTTATTTCTTTACCTTGTAATTTAACATAAACTTTTGTAGTATAGACTGAAATTATGACAACCCATGTGGTTCTCTCCGACGAAAATGGCAATGTGTCCCTATATACAAATTAACAGTAGGTTAATGTAATGTAATGCAACCATTTTAAATACATTTATATTTGTTCCCATAAAAAAGAAAACCATTTCAACAGCTGCAGAAGTCATAATTATACTTATCGCAAAATACATAATTGCCGCGTTGAATTTGAAAAGTTTAGAATGAAATTTATCGTAAACTGAAATTTATCGTGTGTCATAATGTGGTTTCTGGTGATAATCTTTTAAAGAGATAAACACATCCATTCCGTACCAGCATGAAACAAACTATAAAACATGGTTTACATCAGCACCTAAAATATAGTCAGATTGAGAGGAGCAGTAAGTTTATCTGACATGAAATAAAATGGGGTTAAACTTCCCCTGACGAGGGAGAACTGCTGAGCTTGAAAAATCCTGAAAATACTTCAGGATCTGAACCCAAACATTCTAGTCATAAGCCCTGTTTACACTTGGCCGTGATAAGCGTGCCATTCTGGGCACGGTACCAAGCCGTGATAAATTTCAAGAAATTGACACGTTTACATTACTCTAAAATAACCAGTCTCATAACCGTCAAAGCACGCCAAATGTGGAACTCTTCACAGAAAAGTTAATTTCAGTCCCTATACAAATTACCCCGATGAAAACAATTTTGATGGTTGATTTAGTTTGAGCAGCCATTTTGACAGAACTGATGACAGAACTGTTAAAGTTTGTGGGGGGTGGGGGGAAAGGTCAAGGTTCGTTTCGCGCATGCGCAGTTATCCGTACTGAAACCGTGCTCAGACTGGATAGCGTTTACACTAAGAAAGTTTAACCGTGCTGCGCCTGGTACTGTGCTGAGATCACCTCATTTCAGTGGGCCAGATTGGCACGCTTATGTTTCACCCATTTTCATTACAAAAAAATTAACCGTTCCGTGTCAGATACCGTTCCTGGCACGCTTAAAATTTGTAATGTAAACAGAGTTTATAGTCAAGGACTCACTGCATTATTAGAATACTTTATTAGATTTGAGTTTGTAATGACAAACGGTTGCTAATATAACTTTACGTTCACTTCTACTTTACACCAGACAGAAATAAAATGGGGTTTAACTTCCTACTTTTTTTACACCAACCGGGCTAATCAAGACAGGCATATTTTCCACCTATTCTTCTTCTTAAAAGAGTTCTTTTACGTGCATACCAATGTGTACACAGGACCTCATTTTTTTGTCAAATTCGAACAAGTGTGTAGGATGCTGGCTTGCTAGCCTGGAGGTAGCGGGTTCGATCCCAGTGTCAGCTGAGAAAGTTCATCGGGATTTTCCGGCGACGTTTCCCCTTGTCAGTGGTGCCGGACGGAGGGCCTGCAAGGACAGCTGCCTAGTCATTCAGAGAACCCATGTACAGATTGGTGTGCATGTAAAAGTTTACTTGGCAGTTGGAATTTCAAATAAGAGTAGGCTGTAGTGCCGCTGTCCGGGCAAAATTTCCCTCATAGCACACTGTATGGCATATGTCTGTCTTCATTAGCCCAGTCAGAGCAGAACAGCTGGATTTTAAACCTCATTTTATTTTCAATTCATTTCATTTTTTCTTCCAAATAACTAATCACAATGGGAACCCCAGAGAAAATGACACTGAAATTTCAGTGAGATTTCACTGAAATTTCAGTGAATTTCAGTGAAATTTGAAAATTTTGCTCAATCTCACTGAAATGACCAAATTTCACTGAAATCTCACCAAAATTTCACTGAAATAAAAATATATTTTGGTCTATTACTGAAATTTCACTGAAATAAACAAAAATAAAATATATTTTGGTCTACTGGAATTTCACTGAAATATTTATATTGCAAATTTCATTGAAATTTCATTGAAATTTCACTGAAATTACAAAACATAAAAATGTCATTTTTTCATTGCAAATATTTTAATAACTGCATATAAAGATTTTTACTTTGTGAAAGAGAGCACTTCGAAATTATAGCCTAATAGTGTCAGAAGACGAAATGTTTTTAATTTCCATTAATTAATCACGTTATTTCCTGAAGTAGACAATTTCATTGACGTAGATTTTATTCGCCCATCACCGTGCGTAATCCATGAACATGTGCATGTTTAAAATGATGTCTATACTTATAAATGACTCAACATCAAAATTCTTTCCGATATGCTCCGATAATCATTGTATTATGATAGAATGGCTATCAATCGTAACACACATGTTTCAATAGCCATACTTGGAAAGGAGGTCATCAATTACGGCACCCATAAATTTCATTTACGGTAAATATTTTACGATCAATTAATATAATCATGTTTTGAAATCAAGAAAGAATAAACCTAACTCATTTTAAATTCAAATTTTGAGGTCATTGCCGATTAGCGTAAACAATGTATGTCAATGATGCCGTGATTCCAAGGGTGTCGAGTTACAGGCACTGTTTTTAAAAAATTTGGAATGGAAAACAAACGAAGAAATTTTTAATTCTGTAATGGTTGTAAATTATATAAAACTCTAATGCAAACAAAATGACCTCGCGTGCATGTTAAATTACTAAATTGATAAACCGGTGTCGCTATTTAAATAGATTAACGGGCTTAATTAACCTAAGTTCTTTTCACCGTTTCGCTAAACGCTTCCGAATTTGTAATCAAATGTTGAAATTCCTGGAAAATAGGCGCGTAATTTATAATACAGTTGTGTTTGTCATAGAACTGTTTGTGCACGTAAATTTTTGGATTATATGGATAAATTTCGAAGTAGTTAATTATAAAATGGATGTACTGATAAGGCGTATTTTCAAAAGCAGCCATGGTGAGTATATTTGTTTAAATTCTAGTAGATCGGGCTATGTATTGGTAAATAAATTTCGTCATGCAAATTGTTTGACCTGGCTATGTTTAGTTTTGAAAAAAATAAGGTAAAACGGTTCTGTCTACTGATCCAATAAAAAATATATTTTAAAAGTAAACTATCAGTGTTATAACCTTGTGTATTCAGAAGTAAATGCCTGCCACTGGTGACAGCCGATGCACATTTATCCCAAAATTTATATATGCTTTATTTTTGACAGGATAATTTTGAAACTGCTGAGCTGAATGCTCTAAAAGCACACTGCATGGCACATGCCTATCTTTATTTAATATTATTTTGATTGTGTCATTTCAGGCCATATATTTTTATTATCATCGAAGAAAAGGACAACACTAGAAGAAAAAGAAAATTTAGAAGACGGAATACAGAAATTTGAGGGATAATAGTAATATTGCAATTGTTTGGAGTTTTTTTTTCAGAATGCATGTTAATAAAGACTTTGAAATAGTAGTGAGATTTCAGTAAAATTTCAGTGAGATTTTACTGAAATCTCACTGAGATTTCAGTGAGAGATTTAGTCAAAATATTATTGAAATTTCAGTGAGATTTTACTGAAATTTCAGTGAGATTTTACTGAAATTTCAGTGAGATTTTACTGAAATTT